AAACAAGTCTTTTAAGTGATTTCTTTCTGGTTCATCCTGAGAGCACAGCTGAGTTTCCTGACTCACAGTCTAGGCTTCTTCCATGATAAAGACTGAAGGAGCAATGAGTAATTTTTTTCTTAAAGTCAGCTGATTTGTGGGAGTGTTTGGCAAAATTAATGCAAAAGATCTCTTAGGAGATTTAGGGAATTCTATACCATGTCATGAGATGGCATTCTGTAGTTGGATCTATACTCTTTTGAAAATGAGATTTAATGAATACTGCTTAAAAAGATTTTGAATTTCAAGTTTATTCAGGAACAAAAATATGATCTTGTTGGTAGATAGGAGTACATTTCTTTATTATCCTGGTCTCCTGTCATTTACTTGTTTTGAGCATCCAAATTTATGCCTTGCTGGCTAGCAATAAAATAGAGGAAACATAAAACTGATTAGTTTCACCACTGTTTTGTGATATGAAGGACAATTTGACTGTTTCTAAATGTATAAACTTGGTTTTATCTTGGCAAACTTCTCTTTTATTTTTTTTCCAAAATTGTCAAATAAACTTAGAGTGTATTTCCATTATAACTCACATATAAAATTAGTCTATCTCTAGGAAAAAGTTTCTTAGATATGTCTCTTGTCTCAGAAATACAAACATATAGTGAGTTGAGTGCCATTTCTATGTTTTAATTTAGTTACATCTTATTGATATATGGTGAGTACATAACTTTTACAGGTTAAAAAATTACTTAAAAAAATTATTGGGAAATCTGAAGTGGTAGCCATTTAGTTGTGCTTTCAGATTGTATTTATTTTATTATGAACATAATGTGTACTCATTTGCTCAAAGTAATAGAGCAGGTAGAATGCAGAGTGTCTGGCTCAAATATAAATGTATCAAGTGGATGAAGTTTAGATTTATACTCAGGAGAAAAATAAGATTTATTACTTTGGGGACAAATGCCCTGGGGAACCAAAAGTAAAGATTAACTTTAAAATCAGCCCTGTGCTGACTTTCTGTGTTTTGGTGCAGATCAGTGTTGAGAATCCTCCTTGTGCAAACTCTTCCCTTTCCTATCTGTCCACAATGAGTTAAAGCTTAACCTGATGGCCACAGAGCCAGCAGACCCATACTCTGACAGCCCTGTTCTCTGCTGAAGGTCTGTTTTATTGTGTTGGTTTATTGGCTTTGTTTTTAATTTAACCAGATTAAACTCCTGTCAAATTCTTAAGGCAGTAACTTGGTGTCAGATTTAAAGTATTAAGAGGAAATCCCAGTGGTGACATTATCTTATCCAAAGAAACTGAAGTAAACAAAGGGAAAAAATTTTTAACTCTTTGTCTTTATCTTGGTGTTAGATATTATATTTTTGAAGGGCACCCCTGGTTTAACCACATGCTAAGAAGTACAAAGAATACTTTCCCTACATGATGGCTCCTGTGCAGAGTACTTGGAGTGCTGTAGGCCTCAAGATTCTTTTGGGTGGGTTGGGGAAGAGTTAAGGTTGTTGACTCCTGAGTAACTTACTGGCCTTTATTTTATCCTAAAGGATCTTGCTTTCTCAGTGTTGCTTACTTTTGGACTGGCCATTAAACAAGAGAAAGTAAAAATATTTTAGGGATAATATGTTCAGAATAGGTTCAAGGTTCTCAAATTTGAGACACAAATTATTAATATGCAGGTTCCCTATTCCCCCAGACTGAGTGGGTAGAGCCTGGGTGGAGCCCTGCTGGCTGCGTGGGGTAGGGGGATCACAAACTGCTCCCTGGTATGTTGTATGTGTGTAGAAATCATATAAACTTGGAGCAGGGCATGGTGTTGCATGTCTGTAATCCCAACTGTTTGGGAGGCTAAAGGCAGGAGGAATGCGAGTTCAAAGCCTGCCTCAGCAATTTAGCAAGGCGCTAAGCAATTTTGCGAAGATGCTGTCTCAACTTTTTAAAAAAAGTCTGGGGAGGTAGCTCAGTGGTTGGTTAATCCCTGGTACAAAAAAAAAAAAAATCCAAAACAAAAAGAAAACACACACACACTCTACTGTACAATGCAGTTAAATTTTGCTTTAACATACATGTACAAATTTCCCCCCTCCTATTTAAACAGAGTGGAGCTTAGTGGGGAACATAGATTAATTTATCTTCATATAAGAAGCCGACTGAAATACTGAAATGCCCAGATATACCTATGTTTTAAAACAATTAGTAAAAGGCACCAAGAAGTAATGCACAGTGTTTGATCATGCAGCACTTTTCCAGGAACTGTTTTTTTCCTTAGAGATCTGGATATTTAATATACCCTTTTCTATGCCCTGTGTGTTCCCTCCCTAAACCTCCCTCCCTCTCCCTCTCCGCAACACACCTCAATTTATCAAACACAGTTGTTTTCCTTCCCAGGGAACAGTTACACTTGCGAATTGGTGGTGGTTATGTCCAAACATCATGAAATGAAATGAAAACTTTTTGTTTTGTATTTTTAACAAAAGCATTGTCTAGGTGTACTGTTGTTGAACAAATACTGGTCAATAAAATTTTTTGAATGACTCCCCTACTGGGAAGTAAATGTTAAAATTATAGCAGATGTCACTTCCTGCAACAAAATTCAGGAAACACTCTCTGGTATGTGGGTGTTGTAACTTTTCAGTTCTTGGAACTTTCCTTCAGGAAACTGTCCTGTCAAAAGCAAAGCAGTCAATAAAATATGAAGCACAACTGAAACTGTGTTGTGCGGTGTAATTAAATTTTGATTTGGTGCATATGTTTTGGTGGTTATCACGTGACTTCCATCCTGGGTAATGTGTGTCTGGATAACTTGTTAAGTTGCTTCTCTCCCTCCCCCACTCTCCCTGCTTTAAAAATGCAGGTGTATCTGATTTATTCTGTAAGGCAATTTATGGAAAGTGGTATAAAATTAACCAGTTCTTACTGCTTTGTACAAAACTAGGAAACCAATGGGAGGCTTTGAAATATAGTCAATAATCATGAAAGTTAGCCCCCGTTACGCTCTTTCTTACTTTAAATTTTCTTTTACCTTTTAAAACTTTTTTTCTTGTTCTTTCCTCCACTGCTTTGTCAACATTATTTTTTATAATTCACTGTGCTATGTATCTCATCTTTTCATCATTTCCAATACAGGTATAAATTATGTAAAGATTTTTAGAGAGTTCTAATTCATTTTATGCATTTTGTTTGAAAATTTGACTCCTACAATGTGTGTTATCACAATGTTGACGTCATATGTAAGTATTGTGTAATGTAAAAAATATTTAAACTTCCTTGAAAAATCTTTTTTTTTTTTTAAAGCAAAAACCTAGGAAATCTGTTTCTTATGCTGTTTTTTCAGAATTTTTTTTTTAATCTCTCCATTGACAAAATATTTACCTTGGACATTTTCTAAGTAATAAGTCCTATCTAGTAAATTGGTAGCTGATAAAAATTTGAGTACATAATATCATGATTTTTGTTTTAATTTTTTCCTTGAAGGAAAAAATGTAACATTTCACTGAGTTAATTTGCTATCTTTTAAATAGTTTTTTTTAATTGCTTAAAAAAGAGGTCTATCTATCAGTACCAAATTAGTTAAAGCCCTGTCATTTTACCTTTTTCAAGTAACTGGCTTAGTAATTACACTTCCAGGAATTAGTTTTCCTGTTATTCTAATTGGTATCTTTTCTTTCCCTGATCCCCTTTTAGTGTTAGGCCATCAACTCTTCATTTTAAACAGTTGGGTAAATATAAACTGTACTGCATGGAAATATGTAGGCAGTAACATTTTACTATTAGAATACTGAAAGGATAATGTGAACGCTAATATATTACATTAACTTAAAAATGAATTTCTGATAGCTATAAACATTGGAAAAGAGAACTAATTTTATTCAGATTAGTGTTGTCTCTTATCACACTTAGTTTTTTTCCAAATTCAAAGTATACCAATTATACTTAATTTCTGTTTTTAAAGGGAATCTATGTCCAGACAACAAAAAGCTCTGTTAGCAGTTTAAAAAAGATTGGATTTTATAATTTCATTTTTTTTAAATGAGTGTTTTTTCTCAGCCTAGTTTTTTTTAATAACTTCATTGACGTATTTTGTATATCATAAAATTCACTCACTTCAAGTGTATAATTCATTGCTTTTTTAGTTCACTGAATGATACAAACATCATCATAAACTGGTTTCAAAAGATTTTATTCTCCCCATTAAGAACCCTTATGTCCACTTACAGTTCATTGATGTTTCCAGACCTATCCAACCATTAATCTTTTTGTTGATGTAAATTGTCTTTTCTGGGCATTTTATATACATGGAGTCATGAATGAAATCTTGTGGTTTCTTGTATCTAATTTTTTTCACCCAGTTTTTTTTTTTTTTTTTTTTTTGGTGGCTCCAGGGATTGAACCCAGAGTCACTTAACCACTGAGCCACATCCCCACTGCTTTTTATTTATTTTTTATCTTGAGACAGAGTCTTACTGAATTGTTAAGAATGGCCTCAAACTTGCTGTTGTCCTGCCTCAGCCTCCTGAGTAGCTGGGATTATAGTTGTGTGCCACTGTATCTGCCTCATCCAGATAATATTTTGAGGTTCATATGTGGCATAGACTGTGTCAGTAATTCTTTTTTTTTTTTTTTTTTTTTTTACTGGATGGTGTTTGATTGGGTGAGTTGGTCTGTTTGGAGTAACACTATGAAATTTGAATGCAAATTCTTGGTTAGATACTTAGGGGTCCAACTTCTGGGTACCATGATAGTTTTATGCTTTATTTTTTGAGAAAGTGCCAAACTGTTTTCCAAATTATATGCCTGCCATAGCCCAGGTTTGTGTCAATCTAATAGTTTCTTGTAAGTCATTCAATAATATCATGGTTATTTGCACTATGAAAAGAATAGTTCTGAGATGTGATCAAGTTTGTATTTGATATTAGAAAATGTATAAAATTCATATGATTTAAAAATCTCAACTCATATTTTTCTCATAGAAAATTTCAGTTTTTTTTTTTTTTTTGGTGCTTAGGATTGGTTGTTTTGTTTTTGGTGCAGAGGATCAAACCCAGGATCTAGTCCTGTGTACTAGACATATGCTCTACAACTGAGCATAGGTCCTCAGTACACTTTAAACACATTCTTCGTTAAATATAAATTCTTTATTTTATAATTGCAATTGGAACTTCACTGTTATTTCATTGTGTTTTTAGATAAATTTTTGCTCAGGTAAAAATGAGCTGTTATAATTCTAGAAATTCACATACAAAAATATGTTACCTAAGTGAAGCTTCTAGAAATTATTACTAAAACATGGTTCCTGAATGGGGAACTTCAGAAAAAGATCTGTTTCATGAACAAAAAAAAAATTTCATGAAATACTCTGAAAATATCTTTAGGCACACATTTGATGGTAAAGAAAATGAGTTGTCTTTAGCATTCCTTAGCTATTCTGTAAAAGCTGTGAAGCCCTGGTTACATGTCTTTTTCATCTCTGCCTTTGAATCTTCCCAGTTTTCTTTGAATTTGGAAGTCTCCAAATTTTATTGGAATTCATTGCTCTAGGTATTAATTTATATCTACTTATGGATTCTATCAGTATTAATAGCTTTATGAATATGGCCAATTCACATTCAGTAGCAATATATGTTTATTAGCTGTTTATATTATATATGGATGCATGCTTTGTTGACTGAGAGCCAGCTACTGTGTGTGGTTTGTGCAGGGCTCTAAGGTGATTAAGATAGACACACTTTCCCTGGGGATTGAACCCATGGGCGCTTAATCATTGAGCTACATCCCCAGTCATTTGTATTTTTAAAATTTTGAGACAAGATCTCACTAAATTGCTGAGGCTGACTTTGAACTTGTAATCCTCTTGCCTCAGCCTCCCAATTTCCTGGGATTATAAGCGTGAACCACTGTGTCCATCTAAGGAGGTCATAGTTTGATGGAGGAGAAAGACTCAAATAATCAAACAAAATGGCAAATAAGACAGGTATAAACTGTGTTAAGTACTGTGACAAAAACGAACAGCGTACTGTGGCAGGGTAGCAGGACCTAGGCCAGGAGGACCTCTGAGGGAGGTGAACATCAGAGGAGAAAAAGCAAGCCAGGACATATTATAGAAACGTAATTGTCCCTCCAGAATGTCATGGAAGTAAGTAATAGTGGTGGGACAGATGGTATTTTTTAAACAGGTGAACATGGTGTTAGGAAATAACCATCATATGGCAGTTTCCTGAAATAAAAATTTGATTGTTTTAGTGGGTTACTGTACTGTGAAAATTTAGCCCTACTGTTTAAAAAAATTTATTTTAATGATTTCAAAATGAATGTCATAATATAACTTTAATTTATAAAGTAGAGGCTGGAGTTTTTAAGAGTTGCCCTTAATTGATACATAAGCATATTAGTGTTGAAAAGAAGTTCAGGGGACATTTTTTTTAGAGTTTGGGAACTGTCAAATAAGGGATGTGGTAGAATTAGAGAAGTCCCAGCTCAAGTGAATACAAACATAAGGAAGTGAAGATTTAAACAGTAAGGAGGACTTTTGTCCTTGCTAGTAGAGATAAAGGTTAATTCACAAAATAACCTTTCATCATGTGAAGGTCTGTTCATGAGAAGTGGAGAGAAGGTAGCCTCCATCTCCGCCAAAACCAGATCTTGAAGAGAGAAATAATTTATGTGTGTTAAAGCCCAGGAATGAGCTTCTCAAGGTAGGTAATTAAACATGGAAACATAGTACAAGTGGTGTTAATACATAAAATACAGAAATAGAAAATGGATAATCTTTCACCTTTGATATTTCAAGAAGTAGCAGATGGTTTAAATACCTTTTTTCTCAAGGGATTCCATGGCTTCTTGAAAAAATGTGATCACAACCAACTAGAACCTGCAATATCTTCTGTCTGTATCTTCTGTGATGGTATAAAATTGCTTCAGGGATCCTGGTTTCATTATCACCTCATCTCTCTTGTACTTCTGTTTACAGTTATTTTCAAATGCATGTATTTAATTGTAGACTATTTGTGGTATAATATGTGAACATTTTTGTGAATATTTCACAAACACATAAAAGGAAGTTATTTTCTTTCAGAGAAAATACAGCGTACTATAGCAGGGTAGTGGGACCTAGGCCAGGAGGACCTCAGAGTTAAACATGGGTTTGTATTAGCCCTCTCCCCCTTTTAAATGTACAGTAGGCCCTCAGTGTAATGTCCCCATGGCTCCTATAGTAGCTTTGAATGGTCCTGTCCTACCTGGCTTCCTCTGCTGATAGCGGTTACTCCTATTCTTGGGTCTAAGGCAGGAAACAAGGGCCTCAAGCCCCTGCTTTTTATTGTTGTTTTATATTGTTCTAAAATTAAGGTATGTAAAATAAAAATGTATATTAGCCCTGTCAATTTATTTCTGTATTTTAATTTTTGTTCGGTTGATCTTCCACAGACTGGGAGAAGAATAAAAGTTTTCAACAATTAATGGGTTTCTATTTCCCCTACTATCTTAGGGTTTTTGCTTTATAAATGTTAATGCACTGTTTTTGATGCATAGATATTAATAATTATATACATATTATTTATTTGTGTGTGTGTATTTTTTTGTTTGCTTGTTTTGGGTTTTTTTTTGGGGGGGAGGGGCTACTGGGGCTTGAACCCAGGAGCACTCTACCACAAAGCTATATCCCAGCCTTTTGAATTTTTTACATTTTGAGACAGGGTCTTGCTAAGTTGCTGAGGCTGTCCCTGAACTTGTACTCTTCTTGCCTCAGCCTCCCGTTGGTGGGTTTATATAGGTGTGTGTCACCACATTGGCTGATATGTTCTTTTAAGATCACCACGTATTTTGTTATGTAGTCTTACTGAAGGTTTCTCTGAATGTTAGGTGAATGGAATACACATACACACATATCACATAGACATAATATTTAGAGATGTATATCTTTAGTTGAGTGTGGTGGCATACACCTGTAATCCCAGTGACTCGGGAGGCTGAAGCAGGAGTATGTCAAGTTCAAGGCCAGCCTCAGTAACTTAGCAAGACCCTGTTGTAATGGTTTGGATGTGAGATGTCCCCCAAAAGCTTACATGTAGACAATGCAAGAAAGTTCAGAGGAGAAATTATTGGATTGTGAAAGTCTTAGTCCAATCCTAATAGGGACTAACTGTGGTAATGGAAGTAGTAGAGTGTGGCTGGAGGAGGTAAGAATTGGGGTGTGGCTATGGGGATATATTTTGTACCTGGAGTGTGGAGTCTCTCTCTGATTCCTTATCACCATGTAGCTGTTTTCCATCGCCACACTCTTCCGCCATGATGTTCTGCCTTGCCTTCAGCCCTGAGGAATAGAGGCAGCTGGCCTTGGCTGAGACCTCTGAAACTGTAAGCCTCCCAATAAACTTTTCCACCTCTACAATTGTTCTGGTCATGTCCTTTAGTAAACAACAGTGAAAAAGATAACTAAAACAGAAATTGGCACCAAGAAGTCAGGTCCTTGCTGTGACTAACCTTACCATGTGGTTAATAAGCATTTGGAGCTTTTTGGAATTGGTGGGAGGAATTTTGAGATGCATAGCACTGCAAGCTGGAAATGATTTAGATTTTTTTTTTTATTTTTTTTTTAGCAGAGCTTAATGACTGATTCTGGTGGGATCTTAGAAGACCAAAATGTCAGTAGGACCATGGTCTGTGAAAACAGAGTTCAAGAGGGTTTAGAAAGGGAGAACTCTATTGGAATATGGAGTAGAGTTCATTCCTGCTATGTTCTGGCTGAGAAGTTGTCTGCATTATGCTCATGTCCTGAGACATTCTGTGACACTGATTTTAAAAGCTTAATCTGGTCGAAGAAATGTCTAGGTAGCATTGCATTCAGGTGGTGGCATGGATATTGCTGAAAGCTTTTAGTCAACTTTATTGTGATAATCAGGAGCAGAAAGTAGAGCAGAAAGATTAAAAAAATTGGACTTGAAAGGCAGGAGTAAAATAGGACTAAGAAAGTTGCAGTTATTAAAGACATTACCAACACTAAAGATAGGAAAGGTAGCAGAATACAACAGTTACTAATAGGGCATTATGTAAAAATGTGGATGTGTAACTGATGTGATTCTGCAATCTGTATTTGGGGTAAAATTGGGAGTTCATAACCAACTTGAATCTAATGTATGAAATATGATATGTCATGAGCTTTATAATGTTTTGAACAACCAATAAAAAAAAAAGAAATGCTAAATACTTTGCTCAGAGACAATAAGAATGATAGCCTGAGGGCATCTCAGGAGTTGGCAAGACCACACCCATCTGTAGCTCTAGGGAGTAAAAGTGAAAATTCTCTTGAAAAGACCAGTTAGTCACCCTTCTTACACAAGGGGACCTAGGATGTTTTTTCAATGTGCTCAGCCACCTAGACACTCAGAGGCCACTGCAGTCAGGGTCCCTAGAGGCTTGGGTACTACTTGAGATGGTGGCAGACTTTGGCACCAACCACCAATCATGTGTTGCTGGTTCTGCAGGAATGCAGGATGCTGGAGTTAATGGGTTGTGGAGGCTTCTGTCAAGATTTCAAAGGAAGGTCTTGGTGGCCAGGCAAAGTGCAGCAGGGTTGGAGTTCCTGCGGGCACTCCCTGAGAAGGCCAGGTGTGGAGATCTGAGGAGGAAGCTGAAGTTGCAGTGGAGACACCCCCTACCCCAGATTAAAAATGCCAGTAACATGGGACATCCTCCTAGGAAAGCTGCAGGAATCTATCAGAGACCAGCCAACAGAGAGGCCACTTTCTATGTCTATAATTTTGTGAATGGAAATATTTACTCTGGGGCTGGCGATATAGCTCAGTTGGTAGAGTGCTTGCCTCCCATAAACAAGGCCTTGGGTTCAATCCCCAGCACCACACACACACAAAGTTTACTCTGTATGTATTGGATACTTGTAAACTGCTTTTAATATTATAGGAGCTCACAATGTGAGATTGCCTTGAATCATAGAGAAGACTCTGGACTTGTACTTTGAGCAATCTCAGAACTGTTGAGAGGGGACTCTTGGGAATGGACTAAATGTATTTTGCATTGTCAGATGAGTGTGTGTGAGTTTTGGGGGACCAAGAGTGGGATATTATTGTTTGGATGTGAGGTGTCCCACAAAAGCCCACGTGTGAGATGGTTCAGAGGAGAAATGATTGGGTTGTGAGAGTCTTAACCCAATCAGTGAATTAATCCCTTGATAGGGATTAACTGTGGTAATTGAAGTGGTAGGGTGTGGCTGGAGGTGTTGGGAATTGGGACATGGCTATAGGGTGTACATTTTGGATCTGGAAAGTAGACGTGAGCTGCTTCTCTTCACCACACTCTTCCTTCATGATTTTCTGCCCCACCTTGAGCAGGCTGGCCATGGCTGAGACCTCTGAATCCTTCAAATAAACTTTTCCTCCCCTACTGGTCCGGTCCTTCAGTCAAAGCAACGAAAAAGCTGACTAAACCACCTGTCTCAAATTAAAAAATAAAAAGGCTTTGGGATGTAGCTCAGTGGTTAAGTGACCCTGAGTTCAATCCTTGATTTAAAAAAAAAAAAAAACTGTATCTTTAAATCTTTCATCCATGTGGATTTTAGTTTGGTTTAAGGAATGAGGGAGAGTTCCAGAACCTTTCCTGTCTCTTCTCAAACTAACCATTCTGTTCTCTGTTCAGTCCCATTGTCACCCTCTCTGTGCATTTATAGACTGTTTCAGAACTTGACAGAGCTGATATCCCTTCTTTACCCTGCTACTCTTCACTCTTGCAAAGCACTTTCCGACTTTTCATGGTTATTTTCTCATGTACATTTTTCCAGATGAACTTCAGTGTTTTGTCAGACAACTTGTGGCTTCTTAAAAGGATGATTTCCTCATAAATTTATAAATCCTCATCCTGTTTTTCAAAATATTAAAGTTTAAAAAGGGATTAATCATGTTCTTTGTAGGTTTTCATGAACTGGAGAAGGGTGAATTAGAGTGCCAGGGACTTCTGAACCTCAAGCCAGGCACCACTCATTTACAGAGATCTTTGGGAGTAGTCCTGTGTGCCTTAGGTTTTCCAGAAAGAAGCAAAAAGTACTTTAGCTCTTTTCATCAATTAATGTATTATTTAATAACTCTAAGAGGTGGATCATATTTCCATAGGTAACTTACATCTGTTTTTAGGCAGAAGGAGCCTTTCGTGGTCTCAGTGTTGCTGTGGTTAGCATCTCACTTTATAGCAGACTTTTTATTTAGTCATTCTGTCTTGATAATTATAGATATAATTTAGGCTCTTTAAATTCTTTCTTTTTTTGTAATTCAGTAAAACTAAAGCAATAACAAAGTTAATAATAATTAAAATGAAAGAGAAATGTCTTCCTCTGTCTGAACAATTTGTCCAAACATTTTCTCCTTGCTCCCTTTTCAGCCTTTTCCTTACATGTTAAATATTTTCACATAGTTGAATCACTCTCTCCATGTGCTTGATAAGCCAGTCAGTCAACATATAGGGTAAAGGAGGTTGGATTTACTTTAGACTGTTGGAGTTTTGGAGGTTGTCATTTTGTCTTAAATTTTAAAGGGAACAGATAAATCTTTCAGATCTTTTATGCTTAGAAATGTCATGCTAAGAATAGATTTAAAAAGAAGCCAAAGTAGCCCAGTTAATATGACTAAAGCAAGGTGTTATTTTATACATTGCACCAGGATAAGGTAGAAGAATGCACTGGTGAGTAGGT